TGCCTCTTTTTAGGCTAAAATTATGTACGCGCTTAGGTGGGTTCTGACTGACCAGCGACCACGAAGAATGTCTAATTGCTACATACTTGTGTTACTTTATTTAGTTGTTTGGTCTTAGGACAGTATCCTCCCACAATTTTACCACACCATTCTCTTATACTTTTTTGTCCTGCTTCCACATGTCTACGTAGCCTTAGCCGAGATGTTTTCCACTTCCTTCCTCCTTCTTCTCTCCCTAACACCCCTGATTTCCGAACAAGTCCTGTGTTTCTTTTGCACAGAAGTGATTGCTCGTTCGCGCTGCGTGCTAGACCGAGTGCGTTGTTGCCTCGCTGCTCTTATAATTTCAGGGAATAATCGTTCAAAAATGTCTTTTCAGTTTGTTATTTCACTCAAATTGACAGTGAGGCATCATCACTTGTGGCTACTTTGGGTGCTAGTCAGGTGGAACACCATCTAAAGGGTAACGAGCCCTGAAGTGCTCACTTCACTGTATCAGTGCCTTTTAATTGCACCATATAGCCAGCAGCGTAGATCGTAACATAGTAAGCCCACTTAGCAATGCCAGCCTTCGTTCAAGTGTCATACAGAGAATTTAACGAATCACACACGTGTACAGAATTCCTTTCTGTTTGACTATTTAGATCTGTCCAACTGATGGCCAATCTCCGGATGCTCTGGGTGTCCCGCTCTCGTTATCTTCCTACCTGTTGGCCCATTTCAAGAAGAGACGTGCTTCAAGTGCACTCATGACCAACCAAAGACGCTCGCGTAGTCTCCACTGTCTTGCTGTCATGCTTATATACACTTGTCGCAGCCTCCCATGCTCACTCATACGTTAGGAAAAGGAAAGCTGTTCAGCTCCAATTGTCTACTGATTATCGGATTTGGAGGAAGGAAGAATTCAACCTCAAGCAAGTAAAAAAGCCAACTTTTTGCGACACCGCCACATGATTCCATCGAGTTAGACGCCTCTGCCCTGAAGACAATCAACACCGTCTATCTCCAAAGTAAACATAAAATCGAATTTCACCTCAAACGCTTACTGCTTGTAAAATTCCCCTTTCCAGCAATGCATCATCTTCCAAAAATCAAACTTGTCGAATCATAAAGAGAAAACGGACACTGATCTCCAGTAAAACACAGATATTTTGCAAACATCTCACTAAATACTACAAAAAATAAAATATTTTTATCTGGCCATTGCCCCCCGACCTAAAAACCTAAATCTGGCAGTGGAAGGTAAAGATAATTTAGATGATATATTTGAATTAAATTCACCTGGGTATTTGATCTTTAAACTACAATCTAGTGGATTCTTCCAGGAGTTATGTGCATTCGTCCTAGACTAAAAGCTTGGGTGACTAGAACGCCAGAATAATCGTTTTGTCCTTTGAGACTCTGAAACGAAATGCCTTAGTATGAAAATATATTTAAAAATTGGTAGTTGCTAAGTTCCACTAACACAATTTGTCATTATCGGCTCGCCCTCTGATGCCAAGTTCATATTATGTTATTTGTGCTTAGTTGCCAACCCTATGTGAGAGGATTTGTGGCTTAAGATCAAGCCACAGGTGGTCTCGTGATCGCTCCGTTTCAGCTCCGGCACTTTAAAGCCCACCAAGGCCAGTTTACAACAGGTTAGTAGGCACCAGTTTTATTTACCGGATGACTGAGGTGACGGGTGAGATAGAGATAGGTGGTGAGAAAATAAATAAGATGAAGTTTACATGGGTGAATGGTACGGCGGCGCATATTATCCATCATATTCCGTAAACTCGCATTATCTTGAGACAGCTATACACCCATCTGCATGTGATGGAAAATCCATGTATCCAATTACTGACTCTCAGTCCATATGTCAAATCATTACAATGCAGAGATTGCTTTCTGAACATTTAACATATTGTTTGAATCCGACAAGTCACAACAACATTCTGCCGGCTTGTCACTCCTCCAATTCATTATTTGCATCCCGCCTGCGAGCGATGGCTAGTTGGTTCTGGCAATCTCTCTCAACGTGGATGGATATAACGCATAAGTGTGTGCATCCGTTGAGCATCATTTGTGCAACATCGCGAGGCTTCCATGAAGACGAAAGAAGACATAATACTCGAGCAGAATTTGTATATTCGCATGGAGAAGGTATTTGTGCTACTGCTATGGACAGAAGGACAGCCTATCCGGGGAGGTGCAAAGGCCAAGTCAAAAGTGGCTCCTCACCGAAATGGCGAGTTTAACGACCGTCGCATTACGTAGCCCCTCTCTTCTTTTGAGCGTCGTCCCCGGCGCTCCCCTTGGTCAACCTTCCGTATCAGCCATCACAACATAGTCGGTGCTGTAAAGAAAATCCCGCGATCCGGCCGTTCCAGTCATCAAATTAGCGGGCATCATTACAGATGCTTGACCTCCTGGAAATTTACTTGGATCTGGAGTTCCGTTTAGTTTGAGAAATGGATTCAAAAACGGGAAATTGTGCTGGCCATCATACGTGTTCATAGATAGATGTAGGAACACTGTCCTAAAAGCAGACTTGTGTAAGGCAGGATGGGATTTAACACAGGTCCTTGGGAAAGGGTTTCGCGTCTGTTCCTCCTCGATACGTTGTTACCACTTCGGAAATGCCCAGCTATATCTATCCAGGATCTATTTAGCTAGTTCGGAAATGGAGGAGGTATTGCAAATTCACATAACCAACAGCTTTAAGCAGGTACGGTAAGGAGGTCTGTAACGAAACTACCATGTAGTTCACGGCTAATGTCGCCTCAGTTGTTGATGGCTTTCCTACAAATTCACCTAAAAACTGCCTCGGTAATTCATTCCTTTCATCTTACTTAGCAGTCGAACTTACTATGCCTTACAAATACTTTCAGTTGCGTTTGCTTACAACACTTGAACCAATTTTACGTTGCCTATTGACCCAGGTCGTAGCCAAAGATGTTCTTCTGGTAAGTGTTTTCACTTGGCTAAGCATTCTTTCCTTACCTATGAAGACTAAACAAAATATCTCCGCCTGAAAAATTGGGTTGTAAGCAGTGGGTGAAGTCAAACATGAATGCCTCTTTTTAGGCTAAAATTATGTACGCGCTTAGGTGGGTTCTGACTGACCAGCGACCACGAAGAATGTCTAATTGCTACATACTTGTGTTACTTTATTTAGTTGTTTGGTCTTAGGACAGTATCCTCCCACAATTTTACCACACCATTCTCTTATACTTTTTTGTCCTGCTTCCACATGTCTACGTAGCCTTAGCCGAGATGTTTTCCACTTCCTTCCTCCTTCTTCTCTCCCTAACACCCCTGATTTCCGAACAAGTCCTGTGTTTCTTTTGCACAGAAGTGATTGCTCGTTCGCGCTGCGTGCTAGACCGAGTGCGTTGTTGCCTCGCTGCTCTTATAATTTCAGGGAATAATCGTTCAAAAATGTCTTTTCAGTTTGTTATTTCACTCAAATTGACAGTGAGGCATCATCACTTGTGGCTACTTTGGGTGCTAGTCAGGTGGAACACCATCTAAAGGGTAACGAGCCCTGAAGTGCTCACTTCACTGTATCAGTGCCTTTTAATTGCACCATATAGCCAGCAGCGTAGATCGTAACATAGTAAGCCCACTTAGCAATGCCAGCCTTCGTTCAAGTGTCATACAGAGAATTTAACGAATCACACACGTGTACAGAATTCCTTTCTGTTTGACTATTTAGATCTGTCCAACTGATGGCCAATCTCCGGATGCTCTGGGTGTCCCGCTCTCGTTATCTTCCTACCTGTTGGCCCATTTCAAGAAGAGACGTGCTTCAAGTGCACTCATGACCAACCAAAGACGCTCGCGTAGTCTCCACTGTCTTGCTGTCATGCTTATATACACTTGTCGCAGCCTCCCATGCTCACTCATACGTTAGGAAAAGGAAAGCTGTTCAGCTCCAATTGTCTACTGATTATCGGATTTGGAGGAAGGAAGAATTCAACCTCAAGCAAGTAAAAAAGCCAACTTTTTGCGACACCGCCACATGATTCCATCGAGTTAGACGCCTCTGCCCTGAAGACAATCAACACCGTCTATCTCCAAAGTAAACATAAAATCGAATTTCACCTCAAACGCTTACTGCTTGTAAAATTCCCCTTTCCAGCAATGCATCATCTTCCAAAAATCAAACTTGTCGAATCATAAAGAGAAAACGGACACTGATCTCCAGTAAAACACAGATATTTTGCAAACATCTCACTAAATACTACAAAAAATAAAATATTTTTATCTGGCCATTGCCCCCCGACCTAAAAACCTAAATCTGGCAGTGGAAGGTAAAGATAATTTAGATGATATATTTGAATTAAATTCACCTGGGTATTTGATCTTTAAACTACAATCTAGTGGATTCTTCCAGGAGTTATGTGCATTCGTCCTAGACTAAAAGCTTGGGTGACTAGAACGCCAGAATAATCGTTTTGTCCTTTGAGACTCTGAAACGAAATGCCTTAGTATGAAAATATATTTAAAAATTGGTAGTTGCTAAGTTCCACTAACACAATTTGTCATTATCGGCTCGCCCTCTGATGCCAAGTTCATATTATGTTATTTGTGCTTAGTTGCCAACCCTATGTGAGAGGATTTGTGGCTTAAGATCAAGCCACAGGTGGTCTCGTGATCGCTCCGTTTCAGCTCCGGCACTTTAAAGCCCACCAAGGCCAGTTTACAACAGGTTAGTAGGCACCAGTTTTATTTACCGGATGACTGAGGTGACGGGTGAGATAGAGATAGGTGGTGAGAAAATAAATAAGATGAAGTTTACATGGGTGAATGGTACGGCGGCGCATATTATCCATCATATTCCGTAAACTCGCATTATCTTGAGACAGCTATACACCCATCTGCATGTGATGGAAAATCCATGTATCCAATTACTGACTCTCAGTCCATATGTCAAATCATTACAATGCAGAGATTGCTTTCTGAACATTTAACATATTGTTTGAATCCGACAAGTCACAACAACATTCTGCCGGCTTGTCACTCCTCCAATTCATTATTTGCATCCCGCCTGCGAGCGATGGCTAGTTGGTTCTGGCAATCTCTCTCAACGTGGATGGATATAACGCATAAGTGTGTGCATCCGTTGAGCATCATTTGTGCAACATCGCGAGGCTTCCATGAAGACGAAAGAAGACATAATACTCGAGCAGAATTTGTATATTCGCATGGAGAAGGTATTTGTGCTACTGCTATGGACAGAAGGACAGCCTATCCGGGGAGGTGCAAAGGCCAAGTCAAAAGTGGCTCCTCACCGAAATGGCGAGTTTAACGACCGTCGCATTACGTAGCCCCTCTCTTCTTTTGAGCGTCGTCCCCGGCGCTCCCCTTGGTCAACCTTCCGTATCAGCCATCACAACATAGTCGGTGCTGTAAAGAAAATCCCGCGATCCGGCCGTTCCAGTCATCAAATTAGCGGGCATCATTACAGATGCTTGACCTCCTGGAAATTTACTTGGATCTGGAGTTCCGTTTAGTTTGAGAAATGGATTCAAAAACGGGAAATTGTGCTGGCCATCATACGTGTTCATAGATAGATGTAGGAACACTGTCCTAAAAGCAGACTTGTGTAAGGCAGGATGGGATTTAACACAGGTCCTTGGGAAAGGGTTTCGCGTCTGTTCCTCCTCGATACGTTGTTACCACTTCGGAAATGCCCAGCTATATCTATCCAGGATCTATTTAGCTAGTTCGGAAATGGAGGAGGTATTGCAAATTCACATAACCAACAGCTTTAAGCAGGTACGGTAAGGAGGTCTGTAACGAAACTACCATGTAGTTCACGGCTAATGTCGCCTCAGTTGTTGATGGCTTTCCTACAAATTCACCTAAAAACTGCCTCGGTAATTCATTCCTTTCATCTTACTTAGCAGTCGAACTTACTATGCCTTACAAATACTTTCAGTTGCGTTTGCTTACAACACTTGAACCAATTTTACGTTGCCTATTGACCCAGGTCGTAGCCAAAGATGTTCTTCTGGTAAGTGTTTTCACTTGGCTAAGCATTCTTTCCTTACCTATGAAGACTAAACAAAATATCTCCGCCTGAAAAATTGGGTTGTAAGCAGTGGGTGAAGTCAAACATGAAAAATAACACGCATTGACTGAGTAGTTGAGTAGGGTTTGAAATAGGTATTCATACATTCATTACTGTTGCTAATTCAGGCTTCCAATCCTACTTGTAAAAACTGTTTGATGCCATTATTTTAATAAAGAGC